GAATAAATTGAAAAAAGTGTGCATGATTCATTCGTCCATTTTCTTCAAACACTTTGCCACAATGTAAATGTATGCATGAACGATGGGAGAATGAATGAGCTACTGGATGTGTGTATGTATGTATACGTACATCGACTTCATTTGCTATTTCCTACGTTTCTCACTCTCCAAATATTATATTTCAATAATAATAGTAAAAATGATTGTTCGCATCAAAAATTCTTCTCGGTACGTTGAAATGAACGCTTCTCGTCTTCGTTCAACACAAAAATTAGCATCCTTATTGAAAATTTCGAATGCCTTCAGCTGAATTTTCAACCCACTGCAATGTGGATGATGCGCGACTCATAGACAAGTACACACACTTCACCGGTCAGTCGATCGCAGCTGACGTCGAAAATCTTTCATGAATAAACGATTAGAGAGTATGGAATTGAAAACGAGAAAATGACTAGAACGAGGCGAAAATGACTACAACTAGAACGAGATGAAAATGAGAAATTCGTAAAAAGAATGAAACTTGTTGTAGAATTGCTGGGAAAGAATGAGATCTATCTCACAATTGCCATAAACTTTATTCTTGAGAATCTCCGTGTTCGGGCTATTAATACGGCATAACAATGTAATTTAACGCTCCATTCAGGTGGAGGAGACTACGATGCAACAAAATTCATGCACCATTGATGCGATATGTCTATAACTAGAGATATCAATGTAATCATTGTATAAAAGTATCTCCTCACTTCGGAACTTCAATGGGTACCACATCTGAGAGTCTTCCGTACGGTCGAGATTGTGCATGATTTCAACTAGGATTTCCGAGCTGAAAAGCTAGAAGGGTTCCCAAGCAGATATAAGAGAAGGTAAACAGTTTGTTGGAATGTGTATATCTCGAAATGAACCTTTATTGACTCAAAAATTAACCGAACAATTTGAGCACGAAGAAACAAATCCCTTGAGAAGTGAAGAGTGAAAAAACGATTAAGAGGAAACTACAACAAAGTGAAGAAAAGAAAGAAACTGAAAAGCTTTTGAGCAATTAGTATTATTTGATACAAAAAAGAATAAAACATCAATCAGCTAACGATGATAACAACAGCAAAAGTGATCAATTAATGATAATAATAGTAGCAATATATACAATAGAATGAAAATAGAGTGAAAGGCAACAAGAGAATAAGACCCAGTAAGTTTTATCAAAACCACAGTTCCCTTATCACAACTGCCTTCTTTTTATCACATCTAATGAATCATAGTGATAAAATGAAACCGTTGCGTATGAAAGCACTAAACGAATTGCAAAATCGTCGATCATCATCATAAAGATATACAATACAAAAAATACCACAAAATCTTACGATCATATGAAGTGTCATTCTCCATTTTTTTTAAAGAAACAATAGGAATGACATAAGAACATATTCCTTTTACAGAATAACCCAAAAAAAGGCACAAAATTAAAAATGGAGTGAGGTTAATGTTGAGGAAATTGAAAGCGTTTCAAATATGAGTGAAAAAAGGAAATCAGCCATAAGATTTGTATGAATGAAACAACATAGTGAATATCAGTAATATTAACAGCAATGATATTCACAAAATGACAACGCCATCAGTTGCACATCATTACAATTTCAAAAATTACACCAAAGTATGTATAGATAACCGGTAGACATACCTTAAAGGAGGTGAATGAATGTTAAAAGGAGCAATAATAATGAACACAACAGTCTCAGCAATATATAATATGGCACAACTTGTTGTTGATAATCTCTCTACTGCGACATAACACATTTTCTCTGCCTCGTCATGAATGAAAATTCTCGAATCCAGCCAAATGAAACATCTGCTGAAGTCGAGCTTCATTGAGTGGAGGTTGGCCTTTCCAAGGGAATGCTTCACACGACTGATTCGAGGCATGAACGCGAGGTATGGCCTGAGGTACTTTATGGAGACGATCCGACTGGATCGGTATGATATGCCCTTCGGTTGTGAATAATATACGCTCTTCGTGTCGATTCACTGCGTTATCAATGTCGAATAACTGACATTTCAGTATAATGATTATTGCAATATAAACAACAATATTAATGGTGTTGAAAAAATGAGAATAATAATCATAAATGAATGATAACAACAACGAAACTAATAATATTGAAACAAAACTGAATATTTTGTTTCGAAGTATTGATAAAAAGTGAAACCAAAAATAACGAAACTACCAACCAAAAATAAATATTTTGTCGTTTCAGAAAGAAAAAACGACTCCATTCGATCTTCTAAACTTTTATCCAATACATTATGAACAGTCGCATAACCACATTTAACACGTGTAAATGTATTCAACGACTGCAAAATATCACGACCAACATGCAGATAGAATGGATTCTGAGTGGCACGATAAAGCATATACGTCGACTCGGCTAGTTCTGGCCGGAGTGGATAGAAAAGTACTTCGGGCATCCTGCAATTATTCCAAATTTTTGCACAGAAATGAAAGTATAATAATAATAATAACATCGAATAATAGAAAACTCACTTCAAATGCCAATTATATCGTTCAGGAAGTGCGTCGAAACGTTTCCAAATAGAGTAATAGAGTGCATGAAAGCAGATTGCCTCATCCAGATCTCCATTCAACACTTGAACAGCCGCAAAACTTGCCTTAATATTCTTACTATTTCAAAATAATCAGTAATAATAAGCAGTGATGAAATAATAAATCATTGTAATAGATACCTGAAGTGCATCAATCCAGGTGTTCAACATGGAACCGTCACGCATATCAACATTCACATATAGAGGGGGTTCACCCTCACCAAACACGCAATTCTCACGTCCACGCCGCATTTGGCCCATTATTTGACTGTACGCCTCCTGGAACATCCTATTTTTATCATTACTATATCGGGTCTGTTATTGTTTTAACGTTAATATATGTACAAACGTTATTAATAATGGTAGTGAAAATATTTTGTTGAAAAACGAAACCAACCTTGAACATTAAAATGTCAGACTCAGCTCCGAAAAGAATATAAGATTTGAGTAAATACTCATAAAAAGAATCAACTCCTGCACCTAAGCCACTCGCAACACCCAACCATTCTCCAGTTTGTATATTCAGCACATTGCCTTAACTATTAACACATACTCTTTTATTATTATTAAAACCATCAGTACATCATCACCACCATTCAAACAAACGAGTAATAACACCGACAATCGTTTAACTGAAACTAAATTCTGAAACTGACAGCTTTCAATGTTAACAATGACTTGAGTAAGTTCAATTTATATCGAAACATCTTCAGAATATTAGCATCATTCTTATCGTCATCGAGATTACCACGATATTGTATTCATTACGATAACTGAATTGAAATCTAAAAAATGATACAACTAACCCAAAAGACCCGTGTCTTTATTCCTCAATGACCATAAAATATGATTTGATCGTCTCGCTAAACTCTCGAAAATGCTATCCCCTAACAACCTCGATAATATACCAAATTCCAGGAGTAACGATCCCGCTCCAGCCGTGCATGTTTCATTAACAGTCCCTGACTGAACACCACTTAATAAATTCACTCGTGGATAAGGAAGACCTGAAGTTTTAGATATATTTTATCACTGTTACTTAGCACATTCTTCGCGTTATTATTGATTATCAGAAATACCGGTTGTGGTTCCACTGAAAGCCGGAAGTAGACGTATAGCAAGATCATGTGCCAACGTTAGCAATTCATTGTCGTAATCCTCTATCCAGTAATCGCCCAATAATTTAGTTCTGTCAGTGATAATCAGGTGAGCTGATAACAGTGATCCAATCACCCTCAAAAATAATCATTAGACCAATACTTATTGATAATAATATCAATCAACATTAACAACAAGGAATATAAAAATGATAAATAAACCTTATTGTTGGTTCGAAGACTTGCACCGTGACATTACGTTCAAACGAGACATTGTCGATGATAAGCCGAACTGCATGATGGAACTCACTCTTATTTGAAAACACAACCAACGTATCAAGAGATTCGATCTGAAACTTTTATTTTACAACCATCATCATGACCATATTAGTATTAGAAATAACGCAGAACTAACCAGCGACAGCGAATAATCACCAAGAACGTCATTGATATTAATGTTCGATCTGAAAGTTTCGAAACTTATGAATCAAACAGCGCAGTAATCACCTCTTTTCCCAGAGAATAAGAAAGATTTCAAGTGAGGTCAATGATGAATCCGATAAAGAATCAAATGAAAACGAAAAGAATTGAATTAATATTGATAGAAATAATCGATTTTGATTAAACTAATTAAAGGATAAAGTCAATTTAACGGAGACTAGACTCCAGAAATTAACAAACATTCAACAAAACCCGTTATGCAAAAGAAAAACTAACGGATTCAGATGGTCATGCCCTCGACCTGTACAGTTTATAGGGTCAAGTTCATCCTTGGGAAAAGCATGCCGTAAATAATTATCATACGCAAAGTAAAACATCTCTCGCGTCTCTTTTCGTGCATCACTTAACTGTTTTTGTGAAAATGCAAATTTCTTCGTATAATCATCACTGATGAATGGATAATACAAAGTTGTGGATGCTTTTGATGCTGACGATAACGGTGTTGCGATGCAACTGTTGTTCGTTAAGAGCGCTGATAACACCACTGATAATGAAAATAATAACGATGATGATCCCTGCAAAATGACTCAGTTACACATTACGCATGATTGGTTTATTCACTGATAAAGCACAGAGTGTAATTATCAACACTTCATTTCGAATGAATTAACTTTTCAATATTCCACAATACATTTTGTTCTCTGATTCGTTAACCTGCTTGGATTTATACATTCTCGAAGTTAAGTAGAAACGTGATACAATTTGTATAACTGCAATGGAATCTTTGAGATTTAAAAAAAANAAAAAAAATTGGATATTTCATCAGCAATTACAATATTTCAAATGCTCGTTCTCGATATCTCGATATAGACTCACCAACATTCTTCATGAATTGAGTTGATTTTTTCGGTGAAAACTCTTACGATTAGAGTAACAACATTGTTCCCATCACTTGACAGTAGTATTCTGTGTGTCGTATGAAGAAGAAGATAAACGTTGTGATGAGCTGTTCTTGAATAATTTTGTAATTCTTTTTTGTTTCCGCTCAAAAGACCAATGAGATGATAACCAAAATAAAGCCGTCGTTGGGGTATAATCCCAGAAATTACACTCACCTAATATTAGGTTCACCTGAAATTAGCAATAAGAAATCATCTTCTATGAACATAGCTGAGCACAATGGAAACACATCCGTCGAACAATGTGATAATTGTTTTGGATATAATTTGCATACTGAATAGTTTGCATAGATACATAGATATAGGTAATAGAATAGATACAATCTGCATAAGGATTTGCACTTTTTTGAAGAAAAACGTGAAGAAGTGATATGCGATGAAGATGAGCTGATGCAACGATCTACAAGCGAGAGGAATATGCTAACTGTTAAGCATTAGTTGAACGTCAGCATTGGCAATCAGCCACTGTCTCGCATCCATAATCCTTCACAAAATCTCGCATTCAAACAATTTCAACAAATATCACAAATTGCAATTCGCATCGGACGTTTATAATGTGTTCATGGCTTCACACATGCTCTACTGCGATGATCTGAAACGCCAACACAAGACGATGAAATTGAACAATTAAAAGTTAATTCTGCTAACAGCTGTCACGAATAATCGCCCTCATTTTTTTGCGTTTACTACGCGCAAAACTTGCTTCGCGCTATCCTTCATTCTAATACCAATACTCTGCATCTGGTACGGTATACCGGGTATTCAGAAATAGACGGATAAAGTTCTTTAAACGGATAAAAATGGAAAAAAACTTGAGGTAAATGAAGAAAAGTAACAAAAAATGTGAATTTGGCTCGATTTCGAATGTGGCAACTTGACTGTGCCCCGGTAATTTGCTTGATTTTAAACGCGGGAATTCAAAAAATTCTGGAGAC